TTGAGGTATACCTATGATGAAAATTACAGGCCTCTCTCATCTTTTTAAGTGGGAAAACTTGTACAATTGGTGGCTGACTAAATACTTTTTTGCCCCACTGTATGTTAAAAGATACAATTCAACATGTATTTTTCCAAGCAGCTGAAACATGATGAATATAAGCCAATTGAAATCAGTCACTTTTAATACCATTAAGATCACTGTATTTGGGCTTCCACCTAAAATGGATAGAAGAGATACTTAAAAGGGGTCAATGGTGACTGGGTTGTACCCAACAGGATTTTGAAGGGCACAGTCCTAGAAAGCCAATGTGGTACAGTGGTGAAGGTGTTAGACTGGCACTGGGGAGATCCAGATCCTAGGCACTGGGTATCTTTGGACCAGTCATTTGGCCCGACCTATGTAATATGGCAGTCGTGGGGGAAAAATAGAAAAAGTGCTGTGTACACTGCCCTGAGCTCCTGAAGGAAAGGTGGGATATAAATCTATCAAATAAATAAATATATGTTCCCAAACATAATGCTAGTAGGAAGTTTACTAAAACCCTGGAATGGAGCCTACTGTTCTCTTCAGAAGTGTCTTTTTTCCCCCTAATAATAGTAATGCATAAAATCCAGCATTTAGATTTATCTCTGATAATTCAAGTACTAGCACATCCTTTATACAGATATTTGTATCAAATCAGGAGTGAAAATAACCATAAGATGCTAAACGCTGATACGTCTGTAAAAACATATGATTGATACATACCTCGTGTTCAAGGAACAAAGCTTTCAACTGGCCTTTGGACCAGTAATCCAGCGCATATGCCAAAAGCTTCATTGATAAAGTATTCACACGTAAAAAGTTACCAACAAAGACAACTCGGTTTATTTTCTAAAGGGAAAAAAAAGCAATAGATATTTCTACATTTGGATATAACCAAAAGCGATTCAGATTTCCTCTCTGAAATGGAAGAAAACTATTAAAACTACAATTCTTAGAAGTCATTCCCTCTGGACTTATTCCTAGATACATGTGCATAGGATCACGGTGCCAACGTTTATGTAAGTTAAGTAAGTTCTGTTCTGTAGTATTATTTTACTTAAAATAATTATGAACTGCGCTTTGCCAGGTGTTGTTCCAGGACAGCCTACATTTTATTTAACTATACTCATTTATCAGTTTATACATATAACCATGCATTTAAAGCACTTATATAGACCTGTCAATGAATTGGACCCAGACATTCTCTTATTTGAATAAAAACAATAATTTCCTTCTCAGAAGTCTTCTGATCCAGTGGAGAGAAAGGAAGATTTCTGCCAATTCTCCGTCTCCCTCTACTCCCAGACCACATCCTACACTCTTTGAGAGGTTCTCCCAAATCTCTACAATAGATCTGTAGTTGGTATAATGGGCTGCAGGGAAGCTGAACCATCCAAAACTTTTGGCACTTTAAGTATTCTCTGAATAGAACTCTGCTCAGGGGATGCTTCCCCTAGTAAAAACACAGTTTGGATCCAATCTGAATCATTATGACTACAGCAAAACGTTCTGCTTCCTACTTAAATCCTTCTGGAATTTGTCCAGAAAAAAGGTCTGGTTGTGTGGAACAGTATTCCCAGGCAAGTTTACCTAGTGCCCAGATTTTATGTCTTTCTCACATAATGAAAAGACATTTTAATTTGCTCAGGTCTCTGACTAACTCATCTAGGTGTTTTAAATTTGAAATTGCTTTATAAATTTTGGTTGCATTTTGTTAAGTGTAACTATACCGACCATGGGAAATCAAAGTAAGCTTCAGGGAGTGACATTGCAAGTAGGAAGTGGCAAATGGTAAACAGCACTGACCGCAAACAGATGATTTTTATATCTCACTATAGTCTTAATCTTGCATACACAGAAATGCTATTGGAGACATTCCTCAAATTCTTATGTATTTAGTGTAATACAGTCCAACCTGTTTACAGGGAAGCAGTACTCGGTGTCCTCATAGCCCTGTACAATGCTGCTTGATCCATATGCAACAAGGCAGCACTGTAAAGAAGCCGAAGACAGCAAGAAATATTCCAGATGAGCAGCTAATTCTTTCTCCTATTGGAGAAAACTGGTTAAGTTTTCCATGCATAAAAAACAGATGCAGCGCTTCAGAAAGCAGCAAAGATAGAAATGTGTTCTCTACATAAACTTCCTGAGGAACAAAGGTATACTGGATCAAGTTTATTTATTTGTTTCTTTGTTTATAGGACTTACATGGCCGCCTATCTCATACAATGACTGTACGAAGCTCACAGCAATCCATAAAATATAGTTAAAAGCAAAGGTACCCTTCCCACCAGGCGCCAGACCAAACATCGATATAAGTTGGCTAATGTAGCTGAATGGACTAAGGCAATGTGCTGTACATGGGGCTGCCCTTGAAAACCACCTGGAAGCTACAGCAGTCCAGATTGAGGTGGCACAGGCGATGGTGGCACCACTGCTCCACACGCTGAACTGGAACTGGCTATCAGTCAGCTTCTGGAAGCAAGGTCTAGATTATCACCTAAAAGCCCTTAATGGCATAGGGACTGGCTGTTTGAGCGAACACTTATCTCAGTTGTTTCTTCCCACTGGTGAGATAAGGCAGGGTGGAGGCATTCCTGGTCCTTCAATAAAACAGTGTAATCTATCAGGACTAGGAAGCACACCTTCTCTGTCATAGCACCTACTCTTATCTGTATGGCTTCCATTCTGATGACATTCAGGAAGTCACTGAAAATTTGGGTTTTTCCCAGGAAGCAGGGTTGTGGTAGGACATTTTTGTTACAGAGAGTTTGCCTTCTTGACACTGGTGATTTTTTTAGGATTTTTTTTTTTTTTTGGTTAAGCCACCCAGAGTCATTGGGAGTTGGGCAGCCTCTAAATTGCATTATAAACAAACAAACAAACAAATTAAAAAACGTATTTGATTTAGGTGCGACCCAACTTCAGGATGGCTCTCGAGTTTTTAAATTCAGAGAGAGAAAAAGGGCGAATCTTGAACACCAAATTCCAGTGAGAAAGCAGTAACTTGCTTATTCTTAATAAAGGAATTGTCACAATCTGCATTTAAGGCAACACAATGATTCTACATCCCTCCCCTAACAATGCTTACCTCATTTACAGCACACATTCGTGCTATAGATCCAATGTTATTGGTGATAGTAACCAAGGTTGCTCTAGCCAGGTCTTCTTTGCTGACAGATTCCCGTTTTTCTTTGTAGATCATATTCCCAAAGCTAGAAAAAGTTTACAGTGTTAATACTAATCAAAAAGTATATAATATCTCCCACCTGTGATAAGACATAGTTCTCTCTCTTATAAAAGCTGCTTACAAAGCTTGTAAGGACTCTTGTCAAGCTATAAGTAAGCAACAATTGCTCAACAAGCCTTGGAATTTGAGGCTCAATCCAGTTAAGCTAGATGGTGCACTGGGAGAGATCATTATCTCTTTTAACGGATGGAAGTTTTTGTGCAGACCTGAAAGACCAGGTTAGGGACAGATTGTCATGGAGTAAATCTACCTATGTGGTCGCTAAGAGTCAGCACATGATCAATCAATCAATTATACAACAGGGCAGAGAAAGCACTTATGTACTTAACAAAGAAACTTGCAAAATTCCTCAATTAGAGAGAACTGCTGCTGATTTATATTCTTCTAGTTACAACTATGTACCTGTTGTAGAAATGGTTTACCCTTTGGGAGATCAAGAACATTCAATGGCTATGTCAAAATGATAAGATCTAAATCTAGCCTATCTGAAGATGAGAAAGGTTGGAAACCTCCCAAGGTCAGTAAATGTTTGATAATATTTAAGTAAAGATAGCAGATCTTGTGCCCAGGTGTCCAAATCACTCATTGATTAATCAATTTAATTTTCTACCTAATTTTGCTTTTCCCTTCTGGAAGCAGCAGGAAATTGGGAGGCAGTGAATGTATACTGACATTCTTAAGGGAAAGAACAACTGAGTGCAGTCAAATATATAGACTTTGTTAACTACTCTGTGAAGAACAAAGATGTTCTTCACCATGTATCAAATAAAGAAAGAGCTACTATTTTGAGACTTCTGAAACCAAAAACTCCTGTGTTTTGGAAACTGTGAAAGGCAGGTTGATCACGCAATACTGAAGTTTGAGTAGTAGAAACATGATCAGGAAATAGTTCTTTAATTTAATTGAGTTTAATTCTTCAGGGCCAGATTAATTGCATCCTGGGACACTGAAACAATTAAATGACGGTCTGGCCAAATGCCTATAACTATATCTGAGAAATCCTGGAAAACTGGTAAAAGTATCAGAAGACTGGAGGAAAGCAAATTTTATCCTTATCTTCAAAAAGGGGGAAAATCCTATAGACTAATCAATCGACATATGAAGAGTCTAAGGAAATTACATAGAGATCAACCTGAATGAACTATGAAAACTATACAGTAATTCTCTGAAGTCAGCATGGATTTGTCAGGAACAAGTTTTGTCAGTCCAATCTTTTATTTAGGTAACTTCCTTAATATAAATTGTGGGAATCTTGTAGGCATAATGTACTCTGACTTCAGCAAAGCATTTGGCAAAGTATTCAATCAGAGGCAGGTTAGCAATCTAGTTAAGTATGTACTGGATGGCATGACAATTATGGGGACGTAATGTTATGCTCAGGATTCTTAGCAAATAATTAGAGACCAGTAATGACTGGGTTCCCACAACAATTATTCCTCTTCAATATTTTAATTGGATGAACAGATGAAGAGAATGCTTATCAAATACATTCTCTACAATATGGTGGGAGATCTAATGCCCTGCAAGGCAGTAATAGATTCCAAGATAATCAAAAATGCAAGTAACAGAATGATATTTAACAGAGACAAAATGTTCTTCACTCTTGAAACAGGTTTAAGATTGAGAATAAACAACTGGATATCTGTGAAAATTTTTTGGATAGTAGTTAATTAAAAACTATGAGCCGCCAGTGTGATGTGGCTGCAAATAAAAAAAATGCAATTTTAGGCTGTCTCAATAGAAGCATAATGTCCAGTTTACAAGTAGTAATCCTTCTACTTTATTCTGCTCTGCTCAGACTTCTCCTTAAGTACTTAGCTCAAATTTGGGCATCACGCTTTAAGAAAAACTCAAAGAAACTGGAATAGGTTTGGAGAAAGGCTAAGATGATCTGCAGACTAGAAACTAAGACTAGTGAAGAGAGACTGAAGGAATTTGGTATGTTTAACCTTGAGAAAATATATCTGAGGGCAGATATGATAGCATTCTTCATGCACCTGAAAGAATGTTAGAGAGTAGATGTTCTCTCTTGTTTCAAAATGCAGGACACAGAATCCTGGATTTTAGATACTGAAATGCAGATTCACTGAATGTTAGAAAAAATGTCCTAGTAAGACCAGTACAGAGAGGTGGTGAGATCCCCTTCACTTGCATGCATTCAGGCAGAGGCCT